TGCCTGATATGGGTGTTCAAGTGGTTGAAACCACCTTTAAGGGACCGTTACCCAAAAATTCCGTGGGTCTGGTGATCGGGAGATCCTCCACGGCCCTTCGGGGTCTCACAGTAGTCCCAGGGGTCATAGACTCAGACTACACAAGACATATTAAAATTATGGTTCAATCTCTTGTGGATACTATGGTAATCAATAAAGGAGACAAGATAGCGCAGCTCTTGCTGCTCCCCAGTCTCCACAAGAGATTTCCCTCAAAGCAGAAAATTAGAGAAAGTCAAGGTTTCGGTTCCTCAGGGGAAGTCTTTGAGGGACTCCATATGACACTTGGTAAAAGGCCCATGCTCTCACTTAAGGTCAATGGCAAGAATATAACAGGGCTCCTAGACACAGGAGCTGACCGTTCCATTATCTCCAGAAAGGATTGGCCTTCCAACTGGCCCACCAACACTGCAGATAACACGCTGCAGGGCCTGGGGATGGTGTCAGCTCCTCAGGTTAGTGCTTCAACCCTGCTCTGGTGCGATGAGGAGGGTCATCAGGGCCATTTCCAACCGTTTGTGTTGCAGTTGCCAGTGTCTCTATGGGGAAGGGACATCCTCACTCAGATGGATGTCACGCTTACGTCAAACTGCTCCCCCCAGGCTAAGGATATACTCAGGAACCAGGGATATACCCCCGACAAAGGCTTGGGCAATGCCCTGCAGGGTCGGACATCCCCAATACCAGTAGAAAACAAAAAAGGTAGGCAAGGATTGGGTTTTTCTTAGGGGCCGCTGAAGAAGCTCTCCTACCCACTTCGATCAAAATCACCTGGAAATCAAATGATCCGGTTTGGGTACCTCAGTGGCCCCTGCCTAAGGAGAAGCTATTAGCCTTGTCAAAAATAGTCAGTACACAACTTAGATTAGGACATATTAAGCCGTCAACCTCCCCATGGAACACCCCCATTTTTATAATTAAGAAAAAGTCTGGCAAGTGGAGGCTGCTCCATGATCTAAGGGCGGTCAACGCGCAGATGCAGCCCCTGGGGGCGGTCCAGAGGGGGCTGCCAGCTCTCTCAGCCATCCCTCAGTCCTGGCCAGTTTATGTTATAGACCTTAGAGACTGTTTCTTCTCAATTCCCCTGCACCCAGAGGACACTGATAGGTTCGCCTTTACTTTGCCCACCATTAACCAAGAAAGCCCTGATCTCAGATACGAGTGGATAACGTTGCCCCAAGGTATGGCCAACAGTCCCACTATGTGTCAGATTTACCTTGATTCCCTACTGGCCCCCCTACGAAAATCCTTTCCCAAGATAAGATGTATACATTACATGGACGACCTTTTGCTCAGCGGCAGGGACCCAGACATGCTAAATAATATGCTCAGCCAGTTGGTCGAGGCCCTGAGACAAGCTAATCTGCATGTTGCCCCCGACAAGATTCAGGGAGGAGAAATGGTGACCTACTTAGGCGCGAGAATCTCCCCTATGCTAGTCTCTCCGCAGAAGGTCACCATTAGGATGGATGGCGTTAGGACCCTAAATGACATGCAAAAGCTATTGGGAGACATTAATTGGATTAGGCCATATTTACATATACCAAATTCAGATCTCAAACCCCTGTTCGACCTTCTGAAGGGAGACCCAGATATAGCCTCCCACAGGAGGCTCACTCCTGAGGCAAGAGCTGCCTTACAGAGAGTGGAAAAAGCCTTAGGTGGGGCTACCTTACACAGAATTGAACCAGGGCGACCCTTTGATGTCTGTTTGCTACAGACTAGTCTACAGCCTACAGCGGTGATTTGGCAGAAAGGACCACTACTGTGGATACACCCTAAGGTCTCACCTGCAAAAGTCATAGAGCATTACCCGGAGGCAGTCGCTTCATTGGCCCTTGAAGCGCATGATAGAGCTGTCCAACATTTTGGCTCAGGACCACAAGCCATCCGAGTACCCTATACCGCCAGCCAGATCAAGACCCTGGCTGCCTGCATAGATACCTGGGCCATTCTGAGATGTGTTTTCCATGGGGATATAAACAATCAATACCCTAAAGACCCTATCTTGTCATTTGTCACTCAGCACCCTATAATTTTTCCAAAGGTTACTGCCTCTGAGCCATTAGTCCTAGCAACTACAATATACACAGATGGCTCCAAGACGGGGATAGGCGCCTATGTGATCCTAGGCAAGCCCCCGGTTACCATACAATTTAAACCAGATCAGCCTCAGGTGGTAGAACTGCAGATCGTTAAAATGATTCTTGAACGGTTCTCAGAAGCCATTAACATTGTCTCCGATTCTAGGTATGTGGTCAATGCTATGCAAGTGCTTGAGACTGCCAGTTTAATTAGATCCACTTCCACAGTGGCTGGACTGTTCCTGTCTATCCAGACATTGCTTCAGAACAGACACCATAAGGTCTTCACCACCCACATAAGAGCACATACATCCCTGCCGGGGCCCATGGCACAGGGGAATGCGGCTGCTGACACTGCCACTCGCCCGTTATGGATTTTTACCTTACTAACACCAATCAAGCGAGCCCGTGCCTTCCATGATAAGTTTCATGTTAATGCCAGGACACTAGCAAACCATTTCCATGTTTCTAGAGCAGATGCACGAGATATCGTGCGACTATGTGACTCCTGTGCCACATACAAACCTGCCATACCGATGGGAGTAAACCCTCGAGGTTTGATCCCTGGTGATGTTTGGCAGATGGACATCACACATATACAGGAGTTTGGGACTCTTAAATATGTTCATGTTTCCACAGACACCTGTTCTCACGTCATATTCGCAACAGCAGAAACAGGTGAAAAAGTGTCTAATGTGATCAATCATTGCCTGGCAGCTTGGGCCGCATGGGGCAAACCAAAAATATTAAAAACTGATAATGGACCAGCCTATATAGGCAAAGCCTTCAATGAGTTCTGCAAAATGATGGAGGTTCAATTAAAACATGGTATCCCATACAATCCCCAAGGTCAAGGAATCATTGAGAGGGCTCATAGAAGCCTCAAAGAAATTTTACAAAAACAAAAAGGGGGAGTAGGCCAAGGCCTGGCCCCAAAGGCACGATTATCCATGGCACTATTCACACACAATTTTTTAAATTTAAATAATGATAATCGCTCCCCAGCCGTGGAGCACTGCAACCCTTCCCCCAACCATAAAGGGTGGGTGAAGTGGAAAGATGTCCTGACAGGACAATGGATGGGCCCGGATCCAGTGGTCAGCTGGAACCGAGGCGCGGTTTGTGTTTTCCCACAGGAACCGGGACGAGAACCACTGTGGATACCGGAGAGACTGACACGGGCAACAAAGCCCTCGACTGAAGATCAGACCTGCCCTACCGGAGATCCATCACAGACCAACCAATAAGATGAATAGAAATAGCGGTAGCCCGAAATGGACAAGAAGATCCTCAGGCATATGCATGGCTTGCTCAATTGGCCCACGACCGAGTCTAGATATGGCGGGCATCCCTCATTCTCCTCCATAAGGTGACAATACACAGCAGGGTAGGTGAGTCAATGATGGGTAAGAGCGTGCCTCCCCAGCACGACTCGACCTAAGCCAGGCCCTACCCCATCCTGCACGTAAGCCGCTGGACTGTTAGATGCTGCCCAGGTCTAAATTTCTCTCCGAGGGGATTTCTTTACGGAGAGGAAATGAGTGCAAGCTTGTGTGCATCCAGGTTCCGTCCAGTTTGTGCCTGGCCCTAGAAAAAGGACGAGGGCCTCAGGGCCTTGGCAGACCATGGCATGGCCAACCAGGGTCTAAGCCAAGGACCTACGGTGGACCTACACATAGGGCATAAGCCTCTGCACCCAGTCCAGGAAGGGCTACGATGCGCACATTCATAAAAAATAAAATAGGGGGAGATGTTGGGAGCCGCGTCTGTGATAGCTCGCCTTGCGCGGCGGACGTGCGGCCTGTGGTAAAGAGCAAAGCCTGAGGTAGATTACCCCTCCCATCGAATATGTTAGTTTCCTGCTTACCGCGTAAACAACCCGCTCAACAATATAGTCTGCCTGGCAACTGATGATGTTAGCCAATCAGCTTGCCTTGCTTACTTTAACATGATTGGACACTGTACCCGTATATATACCGGTGCCACCCCTGGGCGGAAGAAGAAGCCAGGTAGAAGCCCAGAAGTAAAAGCCCAAAAGGAGCTGCGGAGAGCGGACCGGTAGAGGCTTTGGGGCAGACTGAAGCACAAAAGGAGCCGCGGGGAGCGGACCAGAGGAGGCTTCAGCTGGGAGAACCCAGGGCAGGCTGTACGGAGAAGGAAAATAAAAAGAAAAGGTTGTCCACTACCAGACTTTGTCGTGTGTCCTTCCTGCCGGCCGGGAGCGGACATCGACAGGGCTGGGGACATAGCTCAGGGGCACAGTGCCTGCCTGGCAAGTATGAGGTCTTGAGTTTGATTCCTGGTACCAAAAACAAACCCTTGAATGTCACTAAATTGTACAACTGTAAACACTATAAACACTAATTTAAAAATCAAATGAAACCAGTTTCCCCCAAAGAGAAAGGTCTTGTGGTCTATTTTTTAAATTCGTTTATTGTATCGCCCTGTCAGGAAACACACACAAGAGGAGCAGGCAAACTGGCAGCCCAGTACAGGCCAGCAGGTTACACAGTGTTGGAAGCACCACAGCTGGAAACAGAAACTACCTCCATGGGCACTGAGCCCCCTCCCCGGCCAGGTCCAATCTCGGAGACACTGCCCTCCCGCCTCCGCACCCATCCCTCACCTGCTGGCAAGTCCAGGATTTAACAGACTGAAAGCTACCCAAGAGAAAGACACCGCCACCATGAGCATGGGCGGCACCGGATGCTCAGGCAGTACAACTGCGGGTGCGACTCACAGAAAATGAAAATCAGCTAAATACCCAACTTCAAAAGGTTGGTGTTCGCCTTCCCTAAGGAGCAGAAACCTTGGAAACGCTGGGAACGAGCCTTGGACCCAACACACTGCCCCAGGACCAGGGACCACCACAGGGGTTCACTCCAAGGCGGCCAGCTGCTCCATGGCCTGGCGGACTTTCGCTGCCGTCTCTTCAAATTCCTTCTGCTTGCTGTTGGTTTCCTTTGCCTGGAGATAACGAACAGACATGTTTGGGCTGGGGAGGGAACTCGGTGGTAAAGATCTGCCTAGCATGCAGGAGGCCATGGGTTCCATCCCCGGCACCACAAAAAAAGAGAAGAGAGGACTGTGCAGACACATTCCCATGAAACAAGAACACCTAAATCACCCCCTGCAGATAAAGAAGACCAAACACTTACGCGTACCTAAACAAACTGGGCACTGTGCTGGGAGACACCCAGAACTATGAAGGCAAACGACTGGATTCAAGCGCCTCCAATTCACATGACACAGCATGTGACCCACAGAAATACTACAGATGCCTTCTGTGTATCGGCACAACCGGCCCTCTCCCTTGGGCTGACCCACCACTCACACGGTCCCCTAGCACCCGGAAGCCCAGGGCACTGGTCAGCCTGGGGCACAGCTTTGCTCTCCAGCACCCTACTTTTCTTCTGCAGCTTCTGCAGGTGAAGTCCAAAGCCTCTCTCCCCATCCAACTACACAGAGCCTGTTGCCAGGAGTGGTGGCCCGTGCCTGTACTCCCAGCACTCAGGAGGCTGAGGCAGGAGGATCGTTGCAAGTTTCAGACCACCCTTGGCCACAAAGTGAGCACAAGGTCAGCCTGAACTGCATAGTGAGACCCTGATTCAAAGAGAAAAACAAACAAAAAACAAAAAAACAGCTGTTACCTAATACCAGCTGTTACCTAAAACAGGACTATGCCATTCACTTCCAGTTCCTCCCCACCTCTGGCTTCTGACCTCTTCCCTCTCCCTCTGCTAAAAGCCCTCTTTCCACAGCAGTGAACAGCAATATATTAGCCAACCTAGGGATGCTGCCCCACCTTTTACTGTCCTTCATCCCTGTGACACCCTAAAAAACAAACAGCCTGAGATGTAGCTCAGCAGCACAGCGCCTACCAGGCAAGCTCCAAGTCCCGAGTTTGATTCCCGGTACCAAAAACAATAAGGCATGTACAGTGGCACCCGGGTAAAATCCAAGCTCCTCCAAAGGTTAGGAAGATGGTTTGAGCCTAGCTTGAGCCACTTAGTGAGACTGTCTCAAAATTCAGGGAAACAGCTGGGGATGTGGCTCCGCGGTGGAATGCTTGCCTAGTAGGTCCAAGGCCTTGCTCCATCTCAGCCACCAAGCATGGCCTCATCACAGGTCTTTTATGTCTTTTTTATAAAAGTAGCTAAGAATGACACTGTCTTCTTTTTATGTGGAACTGGTGATGAACCCAGGGCCTTCACACGGAACTACATCCCCTGCCCTTGTTTATTGTTATTTTGAGACAGGATCTTGCTGTGTTGCTAAATGCCCAGGCTGCAGCTGCACTTGTGATCTTCCTGCCTTGGCCTTCCAGAGTGCTGGGGTTAAAAGTGTGCGGCACCACGCACAGACGGTTCTTCTATTTTTAAATGATTATGAAAGCCAGGCATGGTGGCCCATGCCTGTGATCCCAGCACATGGGAAGCTGAGGCAGCAGGACTGCCAGGAGGTCCAGGCCAACCTGGACTACACAGTGAAACCCTGTCTCAAAAAACCAGAGAGTAAGGGGCTGGAGATTTAGCTCAGCAGCATAAGCGCCTGCCTTGCAAGCAGGCAGTCGTGAGCTCCATCCCCGATCCCCGGTACCAATAAAAAGGAAAAAGACAAAAAAAGAAAAAAAAAAAACAAAACAGAGAGTAGCCGGGGATTTAGCTCAGCAGGGATAAGTGCTTGCCTGGCAAGCGCAAGGTCATGAATTTGATCCCTGGTACCAAAAAACAAAAACACAAGCAAAAAACCAGAGTTTAAAAAAAAAAAAAATCTAGGAAAAACAACAAGTAACAGAGACCACACAGCCGTGAAGGCTGGGATTCACACCCCATGGCGCTCTGCAGAGGAGATGCGGCCTCCTCCAAGTGTGCTGGAAGTGCCCAAGACACCTTCGGGTCTTCCTGCATTCCAGGGCACTCTCCTACAGCCCACTTATCAGCCACTGATTTCCTTGCTCTTCCTGATAATAAACGGCTGTCCCCAGGATTTAAAGGCTACCACATTGGACAGTTTTCTTTTATACTATCTCAGCTAAAGAAACACATTTTCCAAGCTGAAAAGGGGTCTCAGTAACCACAATGGTGGCAGTACTGGGGAGTCCTAGCACCTATCCTGCGCCAGGCAAGGAGAGTGCCACCTGCACTGGCTTAAGTCTGTGCAGTAAAGACAGAGCAGGGACACCCCACAGGCCCCAGCCTGCACTGTGCCACAGGATCTTACCCCCCACACACACACTTCATTCCCCGTTCAGCTGCCAAATTTAGCACTAAAGAGTACAAACAGCCCAGTTCAATCTTAACTTCAGAGAAACAAGTATTTTTTGGTAAATACTCATACAGAATGTGGGACAGTCTGCTACATTACTCCTTGTTTATCTAAAGTTCAAATTGAACTGGAAGTCCTGCTATTGGGCAGATGTAAGTCTGCACACACTGAGCTGCTGGAGCCGTCTCCGTGGCACATGGTGTCACCGCCTGCTCCCCAATAACCCCATGAAACTAGACAGAGCAAACTCCTCAGGTCTGGCCACCCCACCAGCAAACCCTCTGTCCGTACCACATGAGCACACAGTCACCTCAAGGACTGACATCTTGGTGCAGTGACAATCATGTCAAAGCCCAACACTGACTATCACCGAGGCAGGAAGTCAGTCCTAACCATCACCATGTCCCCACCGACCCAGAAGCCTAAGGGAAGTGTCTTCCAATGGCACCCTCAAGGTCCTCCGGCCAGTCAAGGCTCTGCCATGGTCCCCAGGGTTCTGAGAGCGCAGTCTGAGAAAGCAGTCAGTTTAATCCTGCATGCTGCCCAGGCTGCTCTCAGTTCTCATTCCCAGTGATACATACAATTTTGTTCTTGGCTCTTTCTTTGTCCAGTTTTAAAAATTCGCTGAGAGTTAATTCTTCAAACTGCTTCTTGACAGAAAGGAATGCACAGCCAGATGAATGCTTTTTATGCTCTTCTCTAGAAAAATCAATACACAAACATGTCAACAAAACAGTGGTAGTTCACGACCCACAGTCCATTTCCTGTCACCCCACCATCTCCCTGGGCATGCCGTGCTGCTCCCAGAACAAGGAGTCAGGCCCCAAGCTGTCCACAGCCTGTCCTGGTATCTTCTATCTCTGTGAACACTCATCTCATCCTTATGGCTAGAACATTTTATCTGAGTCCTTTAGCAATGAGTAGGAAGAGTGTTGTACAATTTATGGCTAGAGGATTTAACATGCCCAATCCCTCTAAAATCCTCAAGGAACTGTTCCAAGTAATTTCACTTCACAGAATGCTCACATAGCCCACTAGTCAGGACGAAGGTCAAGCTGCCAGGCTTCCCCATGGACCCCTTTCCTCTGCTTCCTGCTTTGCAATGGGAACATTCCTGTACAGTACAGTTGTTATAAACATGATTAGAGAACACTGCCAGGCAAAAGCCAGAGACAGGCAATAGTACCTATGCTGAGAAAACACTGTAACACTCAGAAATCTTCAACTTTTCTCTCCGATCACTGGTCTAACCAGCCCATCCATTCAACACGTGGTCATTTGGCCAATATATTATGGACTAAAACAGCAATGTTCTTCTGGCCAACAAGAGAAACAACTCAGGTAATTCCCTGGGGGCAAAAATTAGGGTTATAGAAGTAATAGATTCTGACAGGACCAAAAGGTGAGAAGACAACATGTAAAGACATTACCAAAAGTCAAGACAGTCTGACTATATCCATGGAATTAAAAAAACAAAGCAAAAACAGGCTGAGTATAGTGGCACAGGCCTACTTGGGAGGCTACAGCAGGAGGATTGAAAGTTTTATTGAAACCTTGAAACTCGTCTGGGTAAGTTAGTAAGACCCTGCCCCAAAATAAAAAACTTAAGAGGCCAGGGATGTAGCTCAGTACCAACGTTCTTGTGCAGCATGTACAAGACCCTGGGTTTCATCTACAGGGCCACAACACAAATATTCCCCTCCCCCCAAAATACATGATATGTTAATGAACAACATTTCAAGCAACACTGAACTGTAACTATAAAGTGGTGATTTTTTGTGAATGTGAATCTCGATAAAACTGTCTTTTTATTATTTATTCTGAGATAGGGTTTTGCTGTGTAGTTCAGGCTGGCCTCAAACTCGTGGTGACCCTCAGGCTTCTGAGTGTTCAGATTGCGGGCATGTGCCACCACATCTGGCTGTTTGTTTTCATTTTATTTTACCCTTTGGTTTTTTGAGACAGGGTCTTGCCATGTAGATCAGGTCAGCCTTGAATTCACAGTGATTCTCCTGTGCTAGGATCCCAGGTATGAACTTCTATCTTCAGCAGATTTTTTTTTTTTTTTTTTTTTAAATCTCAGGCAAGAGCCAGGCGTGGTGGCGCACATCTGTAATCCCAGCACTTGGGAAGCTGAGGCAGGAGTATCACTGAAAGTTTGAGGCCTGCCTGGGCTAAATGGTGAGATTAAGACCAGCCTGAACTACAAGGTGTGATCCTGTCCCAGGGGGAAAAAAAAAAATTTTCAGGCAAGAAAAGCCCACAGTTCACAGTTCTTGGGAGTTTACAGAACAGGACTGTCATTCTGTTGAACTGAAAACATTAAGCACAGATGAGCCTTTCTTCAACATCCATCCAAAAGGTCTTTGCGGCCAAATCAGATTCACTTTGTGAACGTGTGTGGGGGGGATACCCCGGATCAAATCCAGGGGGGTTCTACCATTGAGTTATATTCCTAAATTTTTTTTTTTTTTGAGACAAGATTTCTCTAAATTGTCCAGTCTGGCTTCAAATTTGGAACCTCCCGCCTCATCCTCCAGAGTAGCTGGGGTTACAGGAGTGAGGTATTGCATCCAACTCAAACTGGACTTAATAGGTCTCACACGGGGCTGGTGATTGAGCTCAGCGGCATAAGCGCCTGCCTTGCAAGCAGGCAGTCGTGAGTTCGATCCCTGGTACCGATAAAAACGAAAAAGACAAAAAAAAAAAAAAAAAAAAAAGGTCTCACACATCACCAACGCACCAGCACATGGTCCACAACAGCTGTTTTACAAAATGAGGTTAGGAAAGCCATCCCTCCTGCAATAAGCATCTTGGAAATTCAAATCGTTTTCATTCCAGCCCAGTTCAAACCAAAAGCTTCTTCATGGAACCGAGGCCCCCCAAGAAGACCAGCGTCTGGAGGGACTCACATGGGGTTATCATCTGGCTCCCAGCCTTCCAACTCCTTGAAGCAGAAGAAACACTGCGCCAAATCAGGTTCGTTCTCAGTGGGGCAGTGGATGAAGCCGGCCTCGGCCATCTACAAGGGACAGAAGTTTGTGAGCAAAGGCAGAGGCCCTAGACCCCAGGCTCAGCCACTACGGGGTCGGGCACCCCCGAGACGGGATAGTCCCGGGACCAGGAGCTGGGACAGGATAGGAGGCCTTGATGGGGAAAATACGCGAGGAGAGGGGAGGAGAGCGGGCCCTAACCATTCCAGGGCCGAGGCAGGACGGAGCGGGGCTACCTTAGGAACGCGGCGGCCCAGACCCTGGGGCCCGGGAGAGGGGTCGGGGGCCGGCCTGAGGGATGGCCTCACCCGTTCCGGAGTGCAGGAGCAGCCGTTCACGAAGGGCCAGTTCTTGAATGTAGAGACACGGTGTTCCTTCAGATAGAGCTGCCACGCCCGGGGCAATGACGGGGCCCCCATTCTGCAGCTGCCACCCAGCCACAAGATTCAAATCCGCGGGTAGCGACGCGCCGCGGGGCATGTCGGGAACGCCCGACCCAAGGCTTGTGGGAGCGAACAGCGCGGAGCATGCCGGGAATGCCCCGCCCCCGCCCCGCGGCTTTCTGGGAGTAGATAGCGCGGGGTGTGCTGGGAGTTGTGTCCTGTAGTCTGGTCCTCTCCTCCGCGAAGGCAAGAAAAGCGCTTAAGGGTGGTCCGTGGCCACCGCGACAGGTTCCAGGAGTGGGTGAGCCTGTCTACGTTAAGTCTTTTCACCCGCAAACTCTCCAGATGACTCTCCGGTCCTGGAACCACTCGACCGCTGCCCTCCCGGAGCCGCGAGGGGAACGTGGGCGCGCGCGCATCAACATTACCCTCACCCTGGCTCCGCGGGAACGCGCACTGTAGGTCCCTGAGCTGGAGGAAGTGGGGGTGGGCTCTGTGGAAACGCTGCAGACCACGCGCGTAGACCCCAGGGTCTTCGGGAGGCCAGTTGTGCTGAACCTACAGGAAGCAAGTGAACTGCTCGGAGACCGTCGACTTCATGGAACAGGGAAGCCCAGGGGAGCAGGCAGCCGCCTACAGATGGAGAACCTCGGCCCAGAGCGGCTCTGGGGGTTCTCAGGGTAGTTACTATACTAAGTCACCCCGATGCAGTCGCGGCAGCTTCCAGCTGGCCCCTTTGCACTGGCCCTTCCTGTCAGTGCACCTCTTCTGGCTGCAGTGGCAAGGAGAGAGCTGAGCAAATGATCGTAGCCCAGCGTGCAGCCCTTGTTAGCATGTAGTACAGATTCCCGGGCATCTCGGTTTTGACTCCTGCTCCCCTAGGTTAACCACATACCAGTGGTTAGAGTGTGGGCAAGCCTGACTTACGAAAAATGAGGTTTGCAGGCCTCCCAGGGAAGGGCCACGCAGCTGCAGCAGGGGGCTTAAGGGCGGATCTGAAAATACTTTGTATGTATGACAGTAATTGTTTTTGGAGATCTTTCCCCGAGATGCCTTGAGTCATAAGAAATGAGAACACTCTGTCCGGTGTACAGGTGACATTCCCCTCACCGTGTTCAGAAGCAGCAGACCCTCCCTTTTGTCCTGGTTCTGCCACACCCCTCAGCTCTTGTGGGCTCTTAAGCACCTTCCCATGTTTAAGACTATGCTGTGGATTTACAAAAGAAATTTTGTAGTTTCACATAAACGCTGAATTTTGAAACGTTGACAGCAAATTCAAATTCTGATCAACGCTGTGAAGATCAAACCAAGCAGTTTGGTAGACATCAGCTGAGTCCAACCAAACAGGCAGGGGCTTACATCACTGAGCTAAATCCCTGGCCCAGCAATCTGGGCTTTTTTTTTTTTTTTTTTTTTTTTTTTTTGGTATCAGGGATTGAACTCACGACCTCGAGTTTGCCAAGCAGGCACTTATGCTACTGAGCTAAATCCCTACCCCTCCAACCAAACCTTTTGTGAACATGTCCCTCTGGGGGCTGGGGATTTAGCTCAGCGGCATAAGCTCCTGCCTTGCAAGCAGGCAGTCTTGAGTTCGATCCCGGTACCAATAAAAAGGAAAAAGACAAAAAAAAAAAAAAATCAAGATATGTCTTATGAACCAACTCACCACGATAAGTGTAATTACTATGTAATGCAAGTGTGTTCTGATAAAACTATAAAAACAAAAATTGGCCCATTGAAAAGGAGGTCTTCCTCTAGGTATAGTCCCCAGTGGGAAATTTTTAGTAATTGCTCATATGTCCTTCCAAATGTATGTGTGAGTAGATAAACCTGTTAACAACCAGTATCAATTTGGTAGACATGTGAAGGGGCCACCTTCAAAGCCAATCCTCAGACTGGTGTCTTTATACCTCCTGAGACTTGGGACTTTCCGGCTGTTGCTATAGTCATCACAGAACAAAGACAAGTCTATTCCTGCTGCATTCCAAAAACCCTGAGATGATGAAGGTTGTTTGTTCTTTTAAGCCACTTAAAACAAAAAAAAAAAAAAAAAAAAAAAAAAACTTGGTCTTAACTAACCAGTTTCCCACGGGTGTCTCTAGTTCTCTCTGTTCCTATGAATTGTATCGTAGAGGACCAGCTCAGTGACAAGTATGACATTGCACCAGGGTACACATCTGCCGTAGGATTGCTGAGAAAACGTGTGTGGTCCTTTGCAGGCTGTGCACAGGCAGCCCGCCCTTCCAAGCAATGAGTCACAGACATCTGAGTTCTTAGTGGGAAACGTAGCTTGCCCGTCACCGCGCCCCTTGGGGTTGACCCTGCCTGTTTCATCCCTAGGATCCAGGTTTCCTGTATTGACAGTATTCACTGAAAAACTTCTCTGCCAGCAGATGTAGTGGCACTTGCCTGTAGTCCCGCCACTCAGCAGGGTGGCACAGGAGGGTCATTTGACCCCAGAAGTTCTAGGTTATGCTGGGCAGCATAATGAGATCTCATAAAGGAAAAAAAAAAAAAAGTTCTCTGCTGAAGTTAATGCCATCAAATCAATGTATTTCTGTGATTCGTTTTGTATTTAGCACAAACAACTTCTAACATCTTTCATTTCAATTTTTATTTTACTAAACATTTCAGCTACTTAGATCATTTCCCAAAGATTAAAAAAAATACTGCTGGGCATGGTGGTACACACCTGGAAACTCAGCACTTTGGAGGCTGAGGCAGGAGGATCACCGTGACTTTGCAGCCCAGGCTGCAGTGAGTTCAGGGGCCAGGGATGTAGCTCAGTGGCACAAGTGCCTGCCTGGCAAGCAAGGTCCTGAGTCTGATTTCCAGTACAAAAGAAAGGAAAAAAAAAAACCATAGTGAGTTTGAAGCCAGACTGAACTACATAGATCCTTATCTCAAAAAACCAAGATAAGTAAAACAATAACATCGTTGATAAAAAGTGTATTTTAAAGTTAATGTACATTTTGGGTTTGACTTTATTGCTGTAGAAATCTAAAGGCATCTAATTAAGCTGAACTATTTTGAATGACTACATTTTTTTCCTTTTTTTTTTTTTTTTTAACCAGTACCAGGGATCGAACTCACAACCATGCACTTGCAAGGCAGGTGCTTATGCTGCTGAGCTAAATCCCCAGCCTTACATTTTTTCTTGATTATCTTTTTTGTTTCACATATACAGCTGTATATGGTGATGTCGATGTCGCTCCCGGCCGGCAGGAAGGACACACGACAAAGTCTGGCAGTGGACAACCTTTTCTTTTATTTTCCTTCTCCGTACAGCCTGCCCTGGGATCGCTCCCAGCCGAAGCCTCCTTTGGTCCGCTCCCCGCGGCTCCTTTTAGGCTTCTACTTCCGGGCTTCTTCTTCCCCCCCAGGGGTGGCACCAGTATATATACGGATACAGTGTCCAATCATGTTAAAGTAAGCAAGGCAAGCTGATTGGCTAACATCATCAGTTGCCAGGCAGACTATATTGTTGAGCGGGTTGCTTACGCGGTAAGCAGGAAACTAACGTGCTCGATGGGAGGGGTAATCTACCTCAGGCTTTACTCTTCACTACAGGCCTCACGTCCGCCAAGTGAGGCGACCGGGCTCGGGGCTGCGGCTCCCAACATGGTGACTATATATGTACATATAAACCATTTTAAACATCAGATAATCTGTTCAGTGGCATTAAGAACATTACAGTTTTGGGGCAACCAGCACCACAATCCATCTCCAGAAATTAAAAAAAAACAAAAAGACAAACAAACTTTCCCTGACAGAAACCCTGCATCTGTTAAAACACTTAGTTACTCCCCATTTGTTTCTTTTTTTTTTTTTTTTCTTTCTTTCTCTTTTTTGGTTTTGATTTTGGTTTTGGTCTGCTTTGAGACAGGGCCTTGCTAGCTAGCTCATACTGGCCTTGAACTGGCAGCCTTTCTGCCTCAGCCTTCTGAGTGCCAGGATTACAGATGTACAATGCGTACCACCATACTTGGCTTACCTCCCCATTTTCCATAACATTTTATGATAACCTATAGATCAGTTTGGGGATGTATATATAGGATCTTACCAATATTTTCTGCCTTTTTTTTTTTTTTGAGACAGGGTCTTGCTATATAGTTTAGGCTGGCTTTGCATTCAGGCTGGCCTCAAACTGTGGCAGTCCTGCCTCAGCCTCCTGACTGCTGGGGTTAGAGGCGTGTGCCGCCACACCTGGCTCTTCTGACATTTTAGGGAGGGCATCAAGAATTGAACTCAGGTAGGGGCTGGGGGTTTAGCTCAGCGGCATAAGTGCCTGCCTTGAAAGCAGGCAGTCGTGAGTTCGATCCCCGGTACAGATAAAAAGTAAAAAGACAAAAAAAAAAAAAAAAAAAGAATTGAACTCAGGACTTTGTGCTTGTCAGGCAGGCACTGTGCCACTGAGCTGTATCCCTGGCCCACTTCTGGCATTTTGCGCCTTCTTATTTCTAGTAAGTTATAGTTGTCTGGTGGTCAGATTTTTTTCTGACATCAAAATTTAGCAGCTAACACAGGACATGGTGGTGCATGCCTGTAATCGAAGCACTTGGGAGGCTGAGGCAGGAGGATCACTTTGAGTTCAAGGCCAGCCTGAACTGCATAGTTGAAATTCTGCCTCAAAAAAAAAAAAAAAAAATTAGCTAAAAAAACCCTTGAAGTCTATGGCAGTTTCAGCAAACATTTACCATATGTAGTTTTAGCAATCATCAGATAAATGTTGTTTTGTTCATGCCTAGCAATAGCAGTCATTATGAACTGGATACAGGGCTGATGGCCTGGGTTGATTTCTCAACTTAATTTACAAGAAAACCGAGCAGTTTTGTGAGTCAGGAGAGGAGCAGGCGAGGTTAACGGAGTCCCAGACAGGTGGCGGAGGTAAAGCACTGGCTCTGGGGGCTGCTGGGTTCCCAGGATCAAAGTGTGTCCTGCCGGCAGGAACCAGTCAAAGGCACTTTAATGTCCCAAGAGTTCTTCCTTGCCATAAGGCTGCAGAACCTCAGACACTTTGATCTTTTCCCATCTGGAGTGCAAAACATCCCAGGCTTGTTTTAATTTGTAGCCTTTTTTTTTTTTTTTTTTGTCTTTTTCCTTTTCATCGGTACCAGGGATCGAACTCACGACTACCTGCTTGCAAGGCAGGTGCTTATGCCATTGAGCTAAATCCCCAGCCCCAATTTGTAGCCTTTTTAAAGAAGGCTGATTACCTCTTCTCAAATTCTTCTGCCACTGTGACTCACCAGGCCTGCCTATACTTGGCCCTGCGTTCTGGGGGATTCTTAATATTTTTCCTATTGTTTACAAGACTTAGGGCTGGGGATATAGCACAAGGTCTTGAGTTTGATTCCTGGTACAAAAAAAAGCAGCCAGTCATGTGGCGCACTCCTGTAATCCCAGCACTCAGGAGGCTGAGGCAGGAGGATGGTTGCAAATTCAAGACCAGCCTGAACTACAAAGTGAGCCCAAGGCCAGCCTGAACTGAGAAAACAAAAATTCCTATGCCCCTTTATCTGGATTTTCTGCTTCTGTTGTGTCCATTTGCTTTTTCATTCCCTCCCCTCTTTAAATATGTACATTCCTGCGTGTGTGTACAGCGTGTATGTGTGTATGTATTTGTATGGCTTTTTAACCTGGACCATTTTTAAATTGGAGGCGTTACGACACTTCACAGTAGAATACTTCTCTTTCTTCTATAACCACAGTACAATCATCAAAATCAAAAAATTTAAAAGGAGTGGTACACACCCATAATCCCAGCATACTAAAGGCTGAGGCAGGAGAATTACAAATTTGGGGCCAGCTGGGTGAGGAGGTGCACTCCTGTAATCTCACCACTCCAGAGGCTGAGGCAGGAGGATCACTGAGTTTGAGGCCAGCCTGAACTGTAGAGTGAGAGCCTGCCTCAAAAAGACAAAAAAAGAAAATGACCCTACCAGAAAAAATAAATGAATAATATTAGAAGAGCTGGGACTATAGCTCAGCAGTCCATAGATTTGATCCCTAGCATCAAAAAAGCAAAATCAAGGAATGTGTCCCAGAGACAGTAACGCATATAGTTTTCTTCCTGCAGCACTGACATACATAATGTCCACGACTGCGCAGTCACCTGCCCGTCCTACTTACTGTAACGTCATCGTAGAGGCCATTAAAGTCTGTTAATGTGAACATCGAGTCAGTAAAGGGAAGAAATTTAATTGTTCCCTCTCCACCATGCAGATCTGCTGTGAATCTGCTCCCTCCGATGTTTTTCTGCACCGTAGATGTTTGTGTGTAGCGTGTCTTATGCCTGCATATATGTTCCTAAGGGAAGAATTCTCAACCCAGCCATGGTGACGTCTGTGAGGCGTCTCGGGAATTGGCACAAATGTTAAAGGAGGTACTACAGCTTGGGAGTCATTTCCTTTAAAACTCTAGAGTGGCTATGCATGTGCTTCTAATTCGGAAGCTGAGGCAGGAGGATCACTGCAAATTTGAGGCCAACTTGGGCTACATAGTGAGTCTAAGACTGTCTCAAAAAAAGACAAAAATACAGAAAAAGAACATTTGTCTTTTTGCCAATGTGGTAACCCAGGCCTGTTCTGTAATCCCAGCACTAGGGTAAGGCTGTGGCAGGCTTGCTGTGAGTTCAAGGCCAGTTAGGGCTTTGAAAACAAAACAGGCAAACACTATCTAGACAGAATTCAAGCTACACCCATAATATTCTCGTTTCTGTATGTTCTGAGAACTTTCTGGATTATTTTCCTTTTTCTTTTTTTGGTCTCTTGAGACAAGGTCTCACTATGAAGTTCATGCTGGCCTTACACTGTGTAACCCAGGTTGGCCTCAGCCTCCTGAACTGGGATTACAGGCATGCACCGTCCTACCTCATCAGAAGCACCTCGATTCTGTGAGCATTTATTCTTGCTTTTGGTCATGCAGTAGTCTTAGACATTTTCCGTGTGGTTAAGACAGACCTTCAAATGACCAAGTGGTTTTTGCTGTTTGGATATACAGATACCCCTTGACTAGGACTAGGGCTTCTTTCAATAAACCTAGTATAAACTGAAAGCACCTTAAATTGAAAATGCCTTTGATAGATCTGATTTAGCCAGGTGTGGTGGTGAATACCTGTAATTCTCAGCTACTTGGGCAGCTGAAGCAGGAGGATCACAAATTCAAGGTCAACCCTGGGCAACTTCATCAAACCGGTTTTTTGAGACAGTCTTGCTATGTAGTTCAGGCTGGCCCTGAACTCACTATGTAGCACAGGCAGGCTTCAAAACCATGGCACCCTCCTGCTTCAGCCTCCCAAGTGCTGGAATTATAGGCATGGACCACCACACCTGACTAAATTTCTTTCTTTAAAAGAGCTGTGGTGTAGCTTCCTGGTGAAATCTTTGTCTAGCTTGTGTGGAGTGCTGGGTTTTGTTACCAGGACTACAAATATAATTAAAAAGGGGCCCGACCTCTTGAACACCCTAGCTCAGCCCAGCCTATGCTCAGTGTGCTCAGAATGCTGACAGTGGCCTCCTGCTGGGCAAAATCACCTAAATACAAAACCTGTTTGCCTTGAAAATAAATTTTTGAAAAAGTCTTGCTGTGCTGCACAGGCTGGTCACGGTCTTGTGACTGGACGGTCCCCTGCCTTAGAAGCCCGATAAGCTGGGACTGTGGGGGCCCAGGCGACTATGTCCAGCTCACAAAAGCTGTGAGGGCACAGCTTGCCAGCTGTTGCCAGGAGTCTCACAGGCCACACTGGAAGGGAAAAGCAGTGAACTTAGGGGTGTGTTTCTAGTGACTGTGCGGTAGGAAGGTAACAGTGGTGCCACTCTGGGTGGGGACTGTGGGTACCCCGTCCCCGCAATGAACACTTGGGCTGTGTTCTCTGTCACCAGGCATGTGGACATGCAGAGGAAGGGCAGCCTTGGGGCGGAAGAGGGAGCCTATCGGCCTGTGGGTGGTGCTGTCCTCTCCAGTGTACGTTTTAGCTCCCAGGATAACATCCCAAGACTCTCAGGGACAAACTCGAATGTCAGGTGAAATGTGGGGTGGGTGGACAGAAGCAAAGGCAGGAGGAGCACTGGTAGGAGAAGATTTTACAGAGAAGTCAGAGAGCCACATGGAGCCAGACAGGACACGCTCCTGCCTCTGCTATGTAGCTCAGAAGATGCCACAGCCAGTGCCTGGAGGAGCTGGGCTGCATCCCAGCACAACTGCTGGCACTGGATTTTTGTTTTGTTTGTGGTGCCGGTGATGAAACCAAGGATCTGTGCATGCCAGGCCAAGCACAAGCTCTACCGCTAAGCTGTGTCTTCAGAGACTCTCCTGCCTCAGCTTCCCGAGTAGTTGGGACTGCAGATGCACAGCAACATACCCTGCATGCTTTAGAGTTTTTATATCTCATGAATCTGTATTCGCCTTTTAGTTTTCTTCACCCATCTAAAAATGTATAGCCACTCTCAGCCGGGGCTCTGTCAACAGGAGAGTGAACACCACTGTTGATAAAGAGGCTGAGTCAGCACTGCTACCAAGTCAAGGCACAGCAGGACCCCGCCTCAAAAACAGAACAAAGAAAGAGCACACCCTTCTAGGTCACGTCCCCAATGACCTACCTGCCCCAGGCCACACTCCTAACAGCACATGGAGCCACTGAAATCATCACTGGGGATGAATCCAAATTATCTTTATTTCTTCATTTTATTTTTGGTACCAGGAATCGAATTTATGACCTCCCACTTGTCTGGCAGGCGCTTATGCCACGAAGCTAAATCCCCAGCACCTAAATTATCTTTAAAACATACTAGGCTTTAGGTGTACATTTTAGAGTTAAGCCATAACATCTACATCAGCCGTTTCTGAAACATGCATCACTGGCTGGGGCCCATCAGGAGGTCACAGGTCTGGGGGAAACTGAGTCACAGAGATGACAGTTCCTGCCATGGTTCTGGGCATGGGTGCGTGATGGCTCCTCCTACCACCTCCAGGGTTCTCTCTCTGTGCTGGGGGTGGCAGCCCTAGGGATGAGACCGAGCAGGCTGAGAAAGTGTCACAGGAAAGCAGCAAGCTGGAGGTGACTGTTCTGTCCACCTGTCAGCAGGCAGAGGGGCCAGATGGCGTCTCACAGCACGGCCCTTCCCAGGAGCTCCTCCAGGCCAGGTGGATTCTGAGCAGTGCGCACAGCAGTGAGAAGACCGGCTCACGCCCAGGGCCATCACCCCAGCTCTGACGGATCTCAGGGCGGGTGCTCTGGGCCAGAGCCCAGCATCGTTACAGCCTCGGGAAGATGGTTTTCACTATGATCTGCAGTGAGAAAGGAAGACACAGAAGCCTGGGCTGCAGCGGCGCCCGTAGGAGCTGCCCAAGGCACAGGCCAGTCTCTCTGGACAGCCCTTCTGCAGTTAAAAAATAAAGATTTATAGCTGGGCGTGATGGCACCAGGCCTGTAATCCCAGCACTCGGGAGGCTGAGGTAGGACGATTGTTTCAAATTTGAGACCAGCTTGGGCTACAGAGTAAGCTCAAGGCCAGTCTGAACTGCATAGTGAGACCCTGTCTCAAAAAGACAAAAAAATGTTTTAAAAATTTAAAAATAAGCATTTATGTTGCCAAATTCATCTCTTCCTTCTTTTATGTAGTTGGCTTTCTTTTTTTTCCCCTTAGGACATGAGACAATTTTTTTCATCAACTTCCAAGCTCTGGGATGAATGCATGCCTGTGATCCCAGCACCAGGGAGGCTGAGGCAGGAAGATCACCTGCAAGTCCCAGGCTGGCCTGGGCTATACAGTGAGTTCAGGGCCAGCCTGTTTTGAGACTCCATCTCAAAAGAAAGAAAGAGAGAGAGAGAGAGAGAGAGAGAGAGAGAGAGAGAGAGAGAGAGAGAAAGACAAAAGGACAAAAGAAAGAACAAAGGAAAGAAAGAAAAAGAGAAAACCCAAGTGCTGAGAATACAGGCATGTGCCACTGTGCCCAGCCTGGGTTTGGCTGTTGCCTTTAAAAGCCCAAACCCCCTCCTTCTACCCTGCCAAGCCCTAAAATGATCCCCCACCCCCGGGAGCCCGGCAGCCTCAGAGGAAGAGATGGGGGTGCAGGTGAGGTGGCTCCCCTACCCTGAGCCTCCCCCTCCTGGAAGTGAGGGGCAAGGACAGGACCCAGACCACTTGCAGGGCCGGAGCCTACCTGGGTGGCCACACAGTCCCTCTTGGTCAGATCCTCAATGATACTGAAGTGATCCATACCGGGCAGCTTTTCAAATGTGGCCTCCCATCCTCTGTGGCACAGGGTCTGGGTGGGAGAGAGCCGGGCAGGAGAGGCCTTGGGCGCAGGGCGGGAGGCAGACTCGAGCCCCTGCCTGGCTCTCGCTCACACGGCAGGATACTCATCCTGCCTTTGTTGAATAAATGACAGATGATCTTGGGTTCATTTGTGCTAAATAGGAGACTGCGTGACCCTTGACCGCCAGGCCCAGGCCAGGTGCTGGAAGTACCTGGCAAAACTCCTGGGACTGTCGGTGGAATTCTGGGGACTCGTGTTCACCCACCATCACCAGGACAGGACAGGCTGGAGCCACATGCTGTGCCGGGGCCACGTCCAGCCGCCGCTGTGGGCTGTTCCTTAGCGCATCCTCCCTGGGGCCGGCGGGACAGGGGTCAGGATGGAGAGGCGCCAAGCCCAGGGCTGGGAGGAGAGGCGGGCAGGGCAGGAACTCACAGGGTCAGGAGGAGAAGGGTGTTGTTCGAGGTGGACACGATGGGCTCCAAATCATACAGCCCGCTCACCAGGAAAAGGCCTGTGAGGTCAGGAGCGTGGGGTCAGATGGAGCGAGAGGGGAGGAGCACACGCTCCACGCCAGGGGACCCTGCCCAGGTTGGGAGCAAGAAAGAAAGCCTGTGACACCCTGCTTGCAGGTCTGAGCCGGCCTCCAGGTGAAGCCACTGAGGATTTCTGGCTGCTGACCCAAAGCTGCCAGCCAGTGTGGAGGGCCGAGCCTGCCAGCCGGGCACCATCCCCGTGTTACCTCTGAGGTTGGGCACCACTCCGTGCTCAGTCCAGCTGGCCAGGAGCATCATGCTGGCCAGGTGGGCCCCAGCAGAGTGTCCACACAGATAGATCCCCCTGTGTGGGGCAGACACAGAGCCGGCTTTGTACTTTCCCCACAGTCCTCCCGCCCAGGCGGTCCACCAAGGCCAGCAGTGACACTCACTGGTTGCGTGGATACCGCTTCTGGACAAACACCACACTGCGGGCCACCTGGTCTACCATCTGGTCCAGGGTCCCTACACAGACAGCACACACCAGGTCAGCACCCAGAGGGACTCTCTCCCCACTAAGCCCTTGAGCCTTCGGGGACTACCCTTGTCACCTTTAGGGGCTACATCATAATCCACTATGGCCACAGCCACTCCCTGTGCGGTCAGCGGGTTAACCATGAAGGCTGACTGGCTTTTGCTGCAGAAAGACAGAGGCGACACCTGGAGGCAACTCTGCTGTGACACTGCTCCCGTACATGTCTCGTGGCTTGAGTCCCACGCTCTGTTTGCACAGCCCTTGAGAACCTGGGACTTTAACCTCTGAGACTTCATCCCTGTGTGTCATCCCTTTGTTCCCTCTAGCAAGCTGTCTTGAGAACTGTAGACAGGAAGCAGGGAGGACTTTGCATGGAGATGCTCTCTTCTTAAATTTAAAATGACCAAGGACCCAGTGGTCTGGGCCCTTCCCTTCCCATAGTTTTAATCACCAAAACTCCAGGTTCTGGTCCCAAGCAAACTGGACCAGGGGGTCACTTTGGTCTTCCCTTAATAAAAGGCAAACCCAGCCCACATCTCCCTGGGGTTGCAGGTTGAATTGTGCTCCCCCAAGACACCGATTGTGAGTGTGTCCTTATCTGGAAATTGGGTCTTGAGATAGGTCACCCTGGATTAGGTGGGGTCCCAAACCCAAGAAGTGACTGGCAAAGACAAAGGAGAGGGAGAGTTGGGACAGATGCACCACAACTGACCACAAGAAGACAGAGGCAGAGAATGGGTGACAACGGCATGGTCAACAGCCATCGGGGTGCACCGGACACGGGAGAGGAGGAAGGACTGTCCCTGACACTCTCTGGAGAGCTCGGCGCCTGGACTCCCCATTTCTGACTTCTGGGCTCCGGAAGTGAGAGCAAACCCTAGGCTGCTGCTAGAAGCCACAGCTCACGGTAGCCTGTCGCAGCAGCCCCAGGATGCTCGTACGCCAGGGAGAGGAGTCTTCCGGGTGTACCATTCATCCAAACCGCCCGCTTACCTTCCACTCTGCCAGTACCCGCCGTGGAAAAACAGGAAGAAGGGCAGGGCTGGAAGACAAACAGCCCCGCGTGAGCAGGCTCTGGGCTGCGCTGCTGCTGCAGGCTACCGGGCACCTGGGCTCACCTTCCGACTCCGTATCAGGGAAGTAGATGTCCATTCTGTCCCCTTGGCCGTCTCCATAGGGGACGTGCAGTTGGCACCTTCTGCTGGCCCGGGCGTTCTTGGTGGCTGCCTCAGGAAAGGGGCAAGTCACTGTCAGTGTGGGGCCAGGTGGTGGCAAGGTCTCTGCCAGCTCAGGGAGAAAGCTTTGTGCTGCAGGTGTGCTGGGGGTAATGCGTCAGCTCGCACCCTGAGCCCCTTCTATGGAAGAGGCCCCTCCAGACTCAACAGGAAGCTGTGGTTGCACGGGCACCCCTTTCACTGCATTTCACTGTGTGCTGAGCATATGCGCTCCATCTGCTGTATACCCTAGGAAGCAAATAATCTTTTAGGGAAACAAGGCCTCTACTCACTTGAAATACATTGTAATGAGCATTGGTGTGGTGGTGCCTGTCTGTAACCCAGCACTCGGGAGGCTGAGGCAGGAGGACTGCTGTGAGTTTGAGACCAGCCTAGGCTATATAGTAAGGTCAAGGCCAGCCTGAACTACATAGCAAGATCCTGCCTCAGGAAAAAAAAAAAGCCAGTTGTGGTAGCACATGTCTGTAATCCCAACTTTGACTCAGGAAGCTGAGACAGGAAGGATCCCTGTGAGTTCAAGATCAGCGGAGACTTCCGGGAGAACATGGCGGACAGATAGCAGCAGCTATGGAGGCTCTCTGAAAGAACCAGCTTGGAATTCAGGAATGGTGCGGAGTAAGGAGTCGTGAGCAGGTGGAGATATGCCCTGCTGACCCAAGAACGAACTGGGCTGAGAGAAACCAACTTGGAGTGTAATCCTGGTGCTATAACAGGAACAGAAAAGCCTCAGTGTGGAAGCTGGAGCCTGCGCCATTGGAAGCCATGATTTGGGTTTCCCGCCACGTGGTGGCTGCCTCTACATCAGCTCCACAGGGAGAGAGACTTGCTCTGAGAACGGCAATCGGCGAATGGAGTTGCAGTGAGGTGAGTGAGAGAAACTGACACTCTTCCCACGGTTTGGGAGACTCCAATAGAGGACATTCTGGGACTGGGCAGGCTTGTGGGAGCAGGGTGCTGCGGCGACTTCAGCCACGTACGCCCCTCTCAAGTGGGATTGGTGAGAAGTGCCTAGCCTACGTGACACTGCTGGCTGAGACCCACTGGGCTAGCACAACCCAGATCCCAGAGCCTGAGGGTGACCTGGAGGGGCGGGCCCCGCATAGGCTGCCTGATCTGCAACTTCCTGGTGTGCTGCAGTGGGCGGGAACACCTAGCTGGCGCAATTCAATCAGACTGTGGCCGACAGGGAAGGAAGCTGTGCCTCCTATATATGCTTGCATATATAAGGAACAAAGAATATGGGAAGAGGGAGCAACAACAAGAAAGGCTGGAAACAGGCAATAGCGGACACCGTGCCAATAGACATAAAGCGCCATCTAGAGAGCCTCATAGATCAGTTCAGGAATGAAGTTATTAATGACCTGAAGCTAGAAATAAACAGAATAGTTAGAGAAATGCTAAGCACCACCCAAGAAAAAACAGATGGTGGAATGGAAGGACAGAAAAAGAGGGGAGAATTGTTTGATGGAGAAAATAGAGAAAGCATAGAATACGTGAAGCAGGTTCAAAGAGACTACCAGGAAACTAAAAACCCTATCGAAAACTGGCATAACAGCTTGAAAGAAACTAAGGACAGACTATTTGAACTGGAGGGCAGATTAGTAATATGGGAGAATGAAATGAAAAACTTCTTAAAAGTAACAAAGAAACAAACAGCAATAATACAAAGACTAGAAGATGATAAAAGGATCCATAACTTAAGAATTAAGAACATAAAAGAAGAAGTAGGGACACAAACAAATGAACTACAAAAGCTACTCACAGAAATAATCCAGGAGAATTTTCCTAATTTAGCAAAAGGTAAAGATACTCAGTTGTATGAAGCATACAGGACCCCAGCCACCTACAACCCAAACAGAGCAACACCCAGGCATATAATAATTAAAATTACAGAAATTCAATACAAGAACAGAATATTAAAAGCAGTCAGAGACAAGAAACAGATCACTTACAAGGGAACACCCATCAGAATTACAACAGATTTCTCTGCACAAACCATCAAATCACGAAGAGCGTGGGGGGAAATAATTCAAGCTTTGAAAGATAATAATCTCCAGCCAAGATTGATATATCCTGCACAACTATCCCTGGAAATTGATGGAAAAACAAGGTGCTTCCAGGATAAAGAGGAACTAGGGGAATATGCAACCACCAATTCAACTCTACAGAGAATACTACAAGATATTCTAAAAAAACAAAAATACAAAGAATCCAGAAACAGTGGTAGAGAGGCTACAATGAATAGAGCAGAGAACAAAATGAAGAAGACAAACTGACAACTAACGACAGAAAAAAAAACTCAACAAAAATGAGGCAGAGAAGATTGAATGATAGGAACAGCTATTTTGGAGAAAATGACGTCTTAATAAGTAATACTGATTTAGTATCATCTTGTTTTGAAGTCTCATCAAGCTTTTGTTCTTCTGTCTCCATTGGTCTAAACAGGTTGTATTTTATTGGATTTTATTATGTATGATAGTATAAGCAAAAACTTTTAAAGACAAGGAGATTATACAGAAACCATTGTTCGTTTTCTGTTGGTTGATTCTAAATACCCTGTAATGCTGTCATTCTCTTAAATGGTTTTACATTGTTTTGATATATTTGATGCTACAGTATACGAAGTTATACTCAAAGATTTCAAGGAAAGAGACAATATGGTAACTACTTTTATGTCAGGATTATCTGGTGGTGAAACACTATTCTGCTTAAATGGTTATGTTTCCATCTGCGCTGTTTTGCTGTTATGCCCTCTTTTATCTCAATCTCCACTTCATTATTTACTTTTTTATTTTTATCCTTTTAATTAAGGGAAAAATAAATAAAAAATAGCAGGATATATTATAGTAACCCACTTTGACTTTCCATTATCTTGATTTAAAGCCCTGTATTACTCTCACCATCTTGTTTTGACTGATGTCCCTCTATTCTGTTTTGCTTGATAGTACCAGGTTCGAAAGTTTAAGCAACAGCTGTGAAGATAGTGAGATTCATTATAACGCCCATTCTCGTTGACTATTATCTACTTTTGAAGACCTATAATGTCTCCAATGTTTTGGTTTTGTCGGTTTTGTTCTTTACTGTTTTGTTCAATTTTATTATAACTGATGATATAGGCAATTCTGTTAGAGATGGCGGGAGGCATTATGGTAACCATTGTTGATCACCTTGTATTATGCTTTTACATTATCTATTGTGTCCACCCTTTTGATTTGATTGACTCTGTTCTGTTATGTCACATTTGGTTCTACTCCCTTCCAAAAAAGTAATAAGAACTGTGGGAGCAACAAAACCCAAAATGTGTAATTGTCATTGTACAAAAGAGAGGAAAAGAAAGTGCTCTAAACAATATAACTGCATGTATGTTTAAGTGTATAAGATAGATAATGATATTACTGAGTTTTGTTGGATCATTGAACAGAACTGTTTGCAGTCTCACTGTTGGAATGTCCACTTTACAAGCTTTAATTTTGTGACTTGAACAATTATTTCTAAGATGACAATATGTAATCCATTAACTAGTGATTTCCTACTGTTTATTTTTTTCTGTAAATCTGTATAACTTGTACCCTTTCTCTGCTTTTTTTTCTCCTTAAATAAAATTAAAAAAAAAAAAAAGATCAGCCTGTGCTACAACGTGTGTGAGATTAAGGGCAGCCGGAACTACATAGTGAGACTCTTGTCTCAAAAAATACAAAAAAATCCAGGCATGGTGGTGCATGCCTGTAATTCCAGCACTCAGGAGGCTGAGGCAGGAGGATCGTGCCAGTTTGATACCATCCTGGGCTACAAAGTGACTTCGAGGCCAGTTCAAACTGCATAGCGAGACCCTGCTCAAAAGACAGAAGAAGAAGAAGAAGAAAGAAGGAGAAGAAGACTGTAATTCCAGCATTCTGGAGTCTGAGGCAGGAGGAGCACAAGGTCAAGTCCAACCTGGGCAGTTTAGCAAGACCTTGTCTCAAAATAAATAAAGGGCTGGATATGTAGCTCGGAACAAAGGCCCTGACTTCAATTCCCAGAACTGCAGGAACAAAACAAACAGAAAAGACTGGACACAGCCCAAGTGCCCTTGACAGAAGACTGATTAGGTACCTTACAGTCCAGGTTGAAGGTTCCTAATTTTTTTTTTTGTCTTTTTCATTTTTATTGGTACCAGGGATCGAACTTGAGACCACACACTTGCAAGGGAGGTACTTATGCCACTGAGCTAAATCCCCAGCCCTGAGGGGTCCTAATTTTAAAATCTGAAACCCAAAACGCTCCAAAATCTGACACTTCCGGAGCACTGACAGGATGCCACAGGGACTGGGGGCGGGGACCCCGTCCCTTCCCGACCTCCTGCAGTGAGTTGCCATCCAAAGGCAGGCGCCCTGCTGTTTAAAATTCACTCCAGGGTGCGTGTGACACACTCCACACTGCTGCCAGCCTTTCAGAGAAGGGACACACACAAGCTGCATACCCGCTCCCCCACCCCATTCTTCACCTCAGCGTCTGCTTTCCTGGTATCTTTCCTCCTGGTTAGCCAGTCACCCGCCATCACTCACCGGGACACAGGCTCTAGGAAGACAAGGGCTGGTTTTACCCACTTCAGTAACGCCCACGGCCTGACAAACAGTAAAGGCCCCAAGGAAAACTGGACACGCAGCGTGAGTGAGGGGCTGAGAAGCAGCTCTGGATTGAGATACCAAGCAGAAGTTTCCTGACCTCCACCTCCCATCACACACGCAGGCCAACTCCAGAGACCACAGACCAGATGGCAAAGCTTTCAGAAAAGAAAACAGGGGAACCCATGACCTGAAGACCCCAGATACACCACAAGGACCCGAAAAGGTACAAAAACACCATGTCACATGATCTGTGTAACCAGCCAACCTTCCTTCCTTCCTTCCCTCCATCCAGTGAATGGTGCTGAGCTACATCACTGGCCCTTTCTTAAAAGAAAAATTTATTTTTTTATTCAGAGGAGGCTACATTGCTCAAACTGGCCT